ATCCTACTGGTGAAAGGTAATCCCTCGATCTGGATTATAATCTCCTTTTATTTGTGGATCTAAAGTTGAATAAAAGTCCAGCATCCTGAGAGAAGTTTGCTAACTGTCAATAGAAATAAATATTATATATTAAAACAGAAAATGGTTTTCAGAGCGTCTGAAGTCATAAAGTAGGGTTAGCATCCATTGACTGAAGTTGGTCCTGGTCTGACCTAAGATGGCCGCTCTCTGTATTTCCCACACATTTCCAACTAATGGATGAGAAATATTTTAAATATTCAGGGAATATTAATGACTGAAATAATCTGAAAACATTGAAACAAAATAAACCAGAGACCATTTGAGCTCCCTTTCAAAGTAAGAGCATCACTGCAGGATTTTCAGAATAAAGGTCCTTCATTTAAACCTTTGATCTTTTAAAGTTCAGAGACGTTTGGTTTGAATATCTGATGATTTTATTACAAAAACAGATTAACAGCAGGAACCGTTCTAAAAGACGTTCTGGATGATCAGAGTTTCTCCGTCGCAGCCGGAACGTCACATGGGCTCTCCTCCAGGTGGAGCCATCCCTGGCAACCGTTGCTACGGCAGAGACAGGCCACTTCCTGTTTCTGAGGCGGAGCGGCGGCGTGGGGGCCGGCCGAGTAGTTCCAGGTCAGCTCGGTTCCGGCTTTAACCACCCTGACGGACACAGAACACAGTCAGACCCGGGCTGAGGGGAAAGGGGAGGGGCTTACTGTGACTCCTCCCCCTCACCTGCTGGTGAAGAAGGCGATGACGGGGAAGGCGGGGTCATGGCAGTCCGTGAAGACGTTCTGGATGAACAGGTTGGGCTGGCAGCTGTGCTGTGGGCGGAACATTAGAGAGGATCATCACAGGACCGGTAAAGAATGGCCCCGCCCCTTCATCTGGCCCCGCCCCCTTTGTGATGGACTCACGTTGATGAAGCGGCTAACGTTCCCCTCCTTGGTGGCGTCGATCAAGCAGATGTCGTCCATCTCTGCGGCCCTCTTTTGTCCCCTCTGATCGCCGTCCTCCTCGGTGTCCATCGCCACGGCAACCTTGTCCTCAGACAGATTTCCTGATGAGGGGGAGGGGCATAGAGGGGTCAGAGCAGGGTCAACACAGCGTTATGTGCGGTTCTGGTTGGACCGCCGACCTGCTGAAGGAGACGCCTGGTTCTGGTTCCGTGGCGGTGAGCTGGACTCATCGGGTCCCTGGATGACGGGGAGCTGCTGGTCAGAGGAGGGGGGCGGAGCCTCCAGCAGGTCGCTGCAGGCCTCCAGGACGGGCGGAGCCAGCCACTCGGTGACCACCTCCACGTCATCGTCAGACGGCAGCTCGTCGCGGGTCAGTTTGGGAGGCGGTGGGTCGCCGGGACTCGGGGCCCTCTGCAGAACCACGCCTGTTCGGGAGAGAACGCCGTGATGTCATCACCCCCGCCGGTCAGACGGAACCGAACGGTCGGTTCAGCCCACCTGCGTAGATGCAGATAAACGTGCCCCGGTCCACGTCGTCACGGCAACGCACGCCCCAGCCCCGGTCCTCCGTCTGGAAGACCTGCAGCCGCACTCTGATGCCTCTCTGGACCAGCCGGTTCTGGCAACGCGCCCGGTCACAGCGGCACCACGGTCCGCACTCATAGAGCCTGG